GATAATTAAAACAGACAGATTTTTCTAAACTGTAAATTATTAAATAGAGTGTGTACTACCATATATCAGTAAGAAACCAAATAGCTTGGCTTGAAATTAGGGAAATTAGAGGAATCACCGAAATAAACTTTATGATAGGTTTGAGGCGGGCGTACTCGGTTCTATGTTCTCTAACTCCAATTTCAAGTTGCAATTGCGGTATTTATGTTTATTTTTATTGTGTTCTAAATAAAATGGACAAAGCAATAATTTACTGTCAATAAATAGGGCCTGTTTTCTCGTTAAAAAATATATGACCGACACAAAATCAGAACTAAAAATATATTGATATAACGGTTCTTCTATAAAAAATTATATTCAGTACATTTTTTCCCGATTCAGTATATTTTCCAAAAAAATTTAGTACAATTTTAAAAATCTTCGCGGCAACACTGGCAGAAGGAGAATGACCACTAACTGATGATCGCTTCGTCTTTAATTAAAATTAACAGCGTTTCATTAAAAAAATGCAGCTCACAGAATAAATGAATTAATGGGATGAATCAAAAAACAAAATATTTGGAATACATCTGAGATTACAGCAAACATGTAAATAATATTTGCTGCCTCAATTTTGCTACAAGGTATTTTGAAGCTGCGACAAAAAACAACATTTTGATTTACCCCTGTATAATATTGCCTAAACGAAAACGGTTACTAATTACAAAAATTTTAAAAAATCACAATAAATGTATATACAAACTTGTAGATAATTCATAAAAATAGGATTAAAAATACAAAAGTTATAAAACATCAAACTTGGCCAAAATTTTAGCGTGGCGGAATTTTGTGCCGGGGAGTGTATATTATGTAGCACTTTCCAGTGACCTATTTTTGATTGATTTCTAAGGCTGTTTCCAGTTTCAATTCTAAAGCGAAGAAGCTACTTATTGTTTCCATTGTTTATAGAGGTGTCTTCATCTCTAACAGCGGTCGGCAACCTGCAGCCCGCGGAGCCTCCTGGTGCGGCCCGCGAGCTCTCACCGCAACGAACGTATGGACGATGGCGATGATGAGAAACTGAAGGTCATTATACGCGCCTTGCGCCTGCCTCCACCTACCTAGTGATGGGATATCGAGACAGAATATCGATATTTTACTAGCGATATATTGGTAATATCAAGTAGGAATTCTTTGTTATTTAATTTATTGAAAATTTAATGTTCAAAACGAATTAACAAATTTACTGATGACTCAAAATACACTAGGTAAATACAATTTTACTTATTCCCAATACATTTTGTCCACATAATGCCTCTTGTTTCTTCTTTAGGTAATAGTGTGAGCCCAGCTTTAAAAAATAACCGTTCAGACACAAAAATACTGCCTATTCACATCTTGCAATATATTTGTTGTGTTATCTCACTGCTTCTTTGATCGCAAACGCAACACATAACGCAGAATTCATAACTCTGTAATTCCATGAGTTGCTAGTAAAAGCTTAATTCGTCTTTAACAAAAATCAAAGTTCCACTATATCGTGGGAATTTAGAGATGAGTAGTAACAAATCCTTGAATTTACTTACCAGTTACGGATTTGCTACTGTCCATCTCTAAATTCCAGGGCAATATGGAACCACCTGGAACTCTAGAGAAGTTATAATCGTGAGTAGCCATTATAAAGGTGTCGGAAAAGTCAAAACCATCAATAAGCATTGTGTTGCAAGGTTTTATCGTGAAAAGAAATAATGGATACGTTTATATCTACTAATAAATTTATGAAAAATTATAATAAAAAAATGGACTTGCTCATCGTCAATTCCAACATTTTTTGGAAGATATGGAAGCTGAACATGGTGATGTGATTTTTTACTGAGAGGTAAGATGGTTAAGCCGAGTAGCAGTACTTCAACGATTTTTTAATTTAAAGAAAGATATTTGTAACTTCATGCAGATGAAATACAGGGAAAAACAAATTGATATGCAATATGTATTCAAATATTAAATCATTTAAAATGAAACTGACATCATTTATAGGATATTGATGGAACAAAACTCGGTCATTTTTCAAATTGCAAAAAAGCAGTAGAAGAATCTGGGGTAAATTTTGTTTGACAAAATACTAAAATGAAACGTGCATAATACAACTTCAAACTAAGTTTGAAAACCGGTTTGCTGATTTCAAAAATATTTCTTGTAAAATGAAGATTTTAGAAAACCCCTTCATAGTTGTTATCAATAATGTACCAAGCGATTTACATAATATGAACATAATAGAATTACAAAGTGATAACATACTTAAAATGGCTTTTAAGGAAAAAACTAACTTTGTGGATTTCTATGGGAGTTTGCCTTCTGGAAAATACATGCAGTTAAAAAGGTTTGCTCAGCAAATAATTACTTTGTTTGGTAGTACATATATTTGTGAGCAAATCGAAAAAAAAATACTGTTGTCGATTATCAAATTCACATATAGATGCTATACTTCAAATCTCTACTTCAAAAATGCATGGTATTATAAAAAAAATTGCCAAGTCAAATGCAGCCACAAAAATCTCATTGATTTTATTAACTACAATAAAAAATGTAAAAATATTTAATTAGCATTTTATTTTTAAAATTAAAATATAGCATGTCATACGTGACATATGTTACATAAGTGACATATGTGACATATATAACATATGGCCCAATTTCGGCTCGCACTACTTCACTTAAAATATTTGACCCAGGGCTGATATATCTAAGGGGGTCGCGACATAGACCCAGTAAATGGATGAGGGGGTGACTGAGGCTAGGGGGGAAATAGTAGTCAGCTTAAGTTGGCAACACTTTTCTGATGTTCGTTTGGCGAAATCCAAGGTTATCGTTTGTCCTGTCGTAATAGTATTATAAAAACAGAGACAGATCTACTTTTAACGTGCATCGTGCATTATAATGTCAATGTGGTACAAGTGGAATAAACCACTGTTTTCCTCGTAGTCGAATGTCGAATTAAAACTAAAAATATTTTGTACTTTTTTATATACCAAATTATGAAATTTGTTTTCACTTTATTTTAATGTTAGATGAATAGGTACATGGGTTTGTGCTGTAGTAAATAAGTGTTCATGTGAAAATTATCTCTGAAACTGCATTGTGACTGCACTCATCTCAAAACTGAATGCTGTAAATTCAGGATTTAAATAAATTGTAAAAAAGGTGTTAGACAAAACGTTTACAACCTAAAATTGCATGGAAAACATCACAGAAGAAGGAATTTTACTTTTATGACATTCTCTTTCAACATTTTTAAGTGACCAAGTTTGTGGTTTGGTGAATGGACTCAGTTACCACAGTCAAAAAATTCAAATTAAAAAAAAAGTGACTTAATAAGAATACATAAGTTGAATATGAAAATGTAATTACTTGTTTTAAATGTGATTTAATTAAGAGCTAAATAGATGTTTCATATAAACAAAGTGCTGTAAAATGTTGATAAATGCAAAACCATTATTAAAGAGAAATTAGTTATCACCAATAGGATATTCTGTAGTAGCTGGTCTCTTTAAATAATAAACTTGAAAGACTGTGAATTAGTAGTCACTTTTACACTAGAAGTAAAAACAACAAAAAATGTGTGGTTGAGACTAATTTATGTATTTAATAAAAACATATATTCAACATGTTTTATTTAAATAAAAAACAGGTGTTATTTTAAATGTTTTTATTTAAGTTTATTAATGTTTATAAATTGTGGGTAAATTTGATCCGAATCTTGCTTAATACTATAAAATTCATATGCATTTCTATATGGTTAGTATTAGAGTAGAAGTACAAAAGTTTTGATTAAAAATATATTCTTTAAATACAATATTCACTAGATATGCTAATTTAGGTAATTTCCTATTCGAAGCCATACGTGTTTCCTATTATAGTTTTTATACGTTTATAATTCTGGAGATACTGACATATTTTGCTTGATTACTAAACTTTGGTTGTTCTTGTTGTGGTCTGCTGTTAACACTATTGTACTGAAATATTAAAAAAGCTAGACAAAGGTTTGTCCAACTCTTTTGTCAGCTTTGTTAATCTATGCTACAGTTATTCTGCATGCAGACATTTTTTACTGGAGATTTTCTCTAAAAACTGTATTCAGTTTCAAATTTCGTCCAGTTTTAGGACAGTACCTCTGTTGTAAAGGTATTTCAAAGCCATCCTTTGTAAGATGTAGCCAACAAATACATGCTAAAATGTATAGAAAGCAAATGGCAAGATTACACAAAATTATTTAAATTAAATAAAAACATACAAATGAAGTGAATAATACCTACTAACAATTTAAAAAGACCTAAAATAAATAGACTTAGGGGACCGGAGCTCTAAAAAAGGGAGCCATAGTTTGTTATGCATCCTCATCTATAAGAAAATTGTCTTCATTTCCTTTTAAAATAAACCAAACCAAAACAGCACAAAATTGAAAGTGATCTACTATTCACGACGTATTCTATGTACATGTGAGATTATTAATAATGTATTAAATTAAAATATTTTATCCTAAAAAATATGGGCATTTTATAATGAAAATATCATTTAAAAAAAGACATCGATTTCTTATATTGGCAAGCCTGACTACAGGTTGCCAGATCAATGGGCGACTACTATTTCGAAAAAAATGGCGTTCAAAATGGACTCCTATGTCGCGACTCCCTTAGATATACCAGCCCTGATTTGATCCTCTTACAACAAAAGGTTGCCAACCCATCCTGCAATATAGGCTTCTACCAATTTATATTTAAGTACGTCATTTAAAAAAATGTATAGATTTCAAAAAAAACAGCTTCATTTGTTTGAATTGTGTATTTATTTCCAGTAGATACACCCGTGTGCCACATGAGCCCTCCCCTTAGCACTGTACCACTCAGCGATTCTTTTTCACTATAACCCTCACCCTATATACTTCATTCAAATCCATAGAGGCGTTTTTCAGAAAAATGTATATTTAACATAATATATTTTGTTATTATGTTGGTTTAGCTAACCTGAATTGTATTTTTTCCGTCTATGATAACCAGTAGTCGTATCTGCCTCTTCCTTGACTTGCGAAGATAAGTTGCATTTCATTCTACAAAAAAACGTTCTTCTGGCACCGGGACACAGCCGAGACGCTCCTTGGGGGACGTCCGTTTTTACAGGTAACATTGCTGAAACGCACAGTTTTAATTTTTTTTTCGGAAATGTAACTACTTTGACCCATTCTTACTTTTGGCATCAATCAGTCTTTCTCTGGGGTTAATATCAGACGAAGAAAGTTGTTCTTTGACTTTGGCAACGTCCTTCGGATGGACTATGTCAAATAAACTTTGGCCTAATATATCACCCTGTAAAATAAGTAAAAATAAAAAAATTAGTTCCTATATCTTTTGTATTTAATAATACCAGTAAATAATTTTTTTGTTGTTAGTGGGTATCCCTGAACTAGTGTTGCAGATAAATTGATTAAAAAAATTTAAATATGAAATGAATATAACGATTTTTGTAGATTATTACCATACCTGTGAATAATTGAGGACTTTTGCAACAGATTCTGATACATACAAAATTCTTCCACGGTCACATCCGACGACGAATAAAAAGCCGTCTGCTGCCTAAAACATAAAATTGAATTTTTTTAAGGAACTGTAATGTGAGCCATTTCATTATTCAGTCATGCTCTAATACTCCAAGTCCCTCTCTGTCTTATTTGGCCTTTGAGGCTCAACTTGTCCGATTATCATACATAATTAAACCCCTTAAGACCAAACCTATGTGACGACTATGGCGGAAGAGCTTTCGATTAATGTTCGAGAAAAAACGGGATAATGTTTCTAGAGTATTTGGTGAATATTCTGTCACATTCGCCAATATTTTAAATTTGTATATAAATACTGATTGATGATGAACAGAGTTAGTTATTATATGGACAGTGCAAATAAATAGTGAACAGTTTAAAGACATTCGAAATATATATAAATTAGAATATTAGTGTTATAAAATAAATAAGTGTTTAAATAAATTATTAATAAATAAACTGTTGTTTAAAATAAACAAACATCACAGAACTTTTAAATTTATATACCTAAGTATTATGATAGCTATATTACAACAGTTGAAAATTCTATTTCAAATGATACTAAACAATTTTGGAAATTTATTGAAAACAAAAACAGCAAATCTGAGGTTCCGAGAGTCTTATATAACCATAAAATGATATAATATTTAATTAATAATTCGTTACGTCAGGGGTGCCTCAAGGATCTAATTAGGACCCTAACTTTTTATACTTAATGGTAATAAAAACGTAAAATTTTGAAACAAGTACCAAATACAATGAACAATACCAATGATTAAGAAAGTATGGAATCTCTACATATTATTTCATCTTATATACCTGAAGGATGACATGCTTCAACTCTTGGTCGGACAACAAGGAAGGTTTGTAGTTGCCTTCAGTATATGAGGGCAAAGCACCTCTTATGGACTTCATATGCTGAACAGCCAATCTTAGCACCGTCAATTTGTCTAATTTTCGGGACATCGCGTGACACATTGGCACCATGGCAGATAATTCGGTTATGTAGGTATTCATTTTGTCTCGCCTTCTCTTTTCTACTTCGCTGTGATTTTGTCTGAAAATTATAGAACATGGATGAATAATCAAATTAAACGAAAAATATATTATAAACTTCATAACACTCTATATTATACTTAAGTAATTAAATTTAAGGTACTTTTAGAAATCTCAAAACTTGTAAATAACAGTAGAAAAGGATGTGGGTGGCATAGTGGTAGAGTCTCTGCCTGTGGATCCAAGGGTCCCAGGTTCGAATCCCACCGTTGGCCAGGATTATTTTATTTCATTTAATTATTTAAAATTAATTCTGATGCCTTGGTAGGATTCCCCACTCGACCTTTCACTGTTGGGTTCTAATTAACAGTGCTGTTCCTAAAGTGGCGCTGGGAAACAGTAACACAGCCTACACAGAACACGAGGCTAATGACCTTAGTAGTCGATGCAGATGACATCAAATTAAAAAAAAAACAGTAGATACTTATAATTCTATAATTTCAAATACTTTTGGGGAAACACATTAGAGCCTGTTTTTTCAATTTTTTTTCAGGGGACTAAACCATAACTAAAACTCAACAAAGACATAATATAAATACTGTCCCATTCTCGATCCAAAACCCATCATAATCAATCAATGATACCGCAACGGTAACGAGTGAGAGCTGTTATATTTCCGAATTTTTAAATCACAGATAAAGGACCACGCACTTTTCTTATGCAAACGGGAGTACCGTCAAAATGTCTGAATTTTTGATATGTGTCCATGGGCCCAATCGTATCCTATGACTAGATTTTGAGATACAGGGTGTTGAAGTTGGAAATCCCTAATTCTTTAAAATGGACACCATAAATCACCCTTAAATATATTTGGAAGTTATTTGCTCATTCTGTATAGTAAAAATACAAACTTAACTACTATAATTAAAATATTGTCCCTTACAGGGTGATTAATGATTCGGCAGATCTTTTTTGGTCAAAGTAGGTATTTCCACCGAACAAAAATAGCTGAAATACCGAAAAAAAAAAATATATCACCGTCAAAGTTTCTCAATATTTGATATCGTACAGTACTCGATGTACTCGTTCAAAATTCTTATTGGTAAAATTAGATCCTATGACTAGTTTTCCAAATATAACTTAATATGTACCAAATATATGAATTTTAAACAATAAATATACTGACATAAGTAAATATGTTTCAGAGAAATACTATATATTAGATAATTTGACACACTGTGTTGGATTAGAAAAATACCTCTTGTACTATTTGAGGGCAAAGTTTACAGCTTACCTGTTCCTCTCTTTATTTTTCAAGGGCTTCTCAAAACAATATGATATGAATACAGGGTAATAAAAGATTCTTAATTTTCGAATCACCGGCCTGTTTTTATATTGTCATTATGTAAAAGCATGCAAGTCGTTTTGTGCAGTATTTAATGATTATAACGCCATAAATATTTAAACTTGGAAATATAGTTATTCTGTAACATCCTGTAACTCCGTAATTTTTCACTTCAGACGTAAAGTGTTATAGGTTGTTGTAATCGACACAACCAAGGCATTTTAAATTGGTTTTGGTCTGGTACCGTGTTATGAATCATTCTGTATATTCGTAATGATAAAATATAAAGCTTAAGGCTGCCTGCATGCCTGAAGTTTTGCTTTTTTATATCTACTGTGATAACATATAATTTTTCCGAAGATTTTCACAAAAATTGATTAACCTGTATATTTTGTAACTTATGAGTTTTAGACGATTGATAGATTTTATTAGTAAATTCAAAAACGTGGTGAATATGCCAAAAACCTTATAGGATATATAAACATATGCTTACACTTGATTTATATATTCATGATTAAATATTTTCCGAATAATTGAACATCCATCTAGTGCTGACTTTTATAATAAATGACGTTTGTATTACTTTAAGTGAGGATTAGACCGTTCTGTATTAGTGTTTTAAATAAATATTGTTGCAAGTATGGCGTTTAAAATAGGATAAGCTGTTATGTTTGCAATAGAAACTTTCAACTTCGACTCACTATTCGTTCAAACAAAGACAATAATATAGATGTGCTAAACGTTGCTAATTTAAGAAGACAAGCTGCCGGACATCCTGCAATCGATAATCTACAAGAAGTAAGATTATGTTTAAACAGTTATCACGCAATTACAGAGGAACTTTGCTCATTCTGTATAGTAAAAATACAAACTTAACTACTATAATTAAAAAATTGTCCCTTACAGGGTGATTAATGATTCGGCAGATCTTTTTTGGTCAAAGTAGGTATTCCCACCGAACAAAAATAGCTGAAATTCCGAAAAAAAAAAATATATCACCGTCAAAGTTTCTCAATATTTGATATCGTATAGTACTCGATGTACTCGTTCAAAATTCTTATTGGTAAAATTAGATCCTATGACTAGTTTTCCAAATATAACTTAATATGTACCAAATATATGAATTTTAAACAATAAATATACTGACATAAGTAAATATGTTTCAGAGAAATACTATATATTAGATAATTTGACACACTGTGTTGAATTAGAAAAATACCCCTTGAACTATTTGAGGGCAGCCAAAATTATTTCCTAGTTACAGGGTGATTCCGCTTGATTATGTAAGGTGAAAAAATCATCAAAATGTTGAAATTGTTGGCAAAAAATAGAAAATAATTGCCTTTTAACTTTGGAGTTGTTTATCAAAAAAATCTTATTAGTTCACATACAGAGTCATACATTATTTCATTACAAAAAAAGTTCGTTATTCGGTAGGTCTAAGTAGGATTTAGGGAAATGAATAACGATCGGATTAAATGTTTATTTTAACTGGAGCATTGGCTCTTTATATTGCCTCTTTATGTATATTTATATCAGATTGGGAACTCATCTGACAATCGATGTCTTAGTTTAACAAGGAAAGCAAGTAAATCTTTTTAAGCAATGTTTCTTAAGTTACCATATTGTTTTATTGGTTCACAAAAATCATATAATACTTGGAAATTTTGTTTAGAAATTGAAGTTAAATATTTAAATTCTTCTAATAAACTAAAAGAATTTTTGTCTTTCCAATTTTTAAATTATTATTCGCAGTAGCAGCCGCTCTTAAATTAACGAGGAAGAATGGTCTATAAACAAAACGCAAACTAGCATGTAAATTAATCATTAGTAAACTTGAAGATTTTGATCCGTTGTACTCAACCTTTTCTTCTTTCGGGCCACATAAATCTGTTTGTTATGTTACACGGGCCACAATATTTTTGGGTAATAACTAAAGTTGCCTCCTTTTTGAAATGCAAATAAAGGACAATGGGTGAAGATAGGGATCCGCTTTAAATATTTTCTAAAAAAAGGTCCTCATGTTGTTTTAATACAGGACTGTAGCTTAACCATTTCAGTTACTAATAATCGTGTTTGGGGCTGCACAAAAAATCTTGGAGGGCCGCACACAACAGCGTGGAGAGCCGCATGAGGCCCGCGGGCTGCAGGTTAAGTATGGCTGATTTAGATGAATGTCATAAAAATCTTCAGATATTCGGGTACATAAATATTTGAAACTAAAAAATATTTGCTCTGCATAATGCCGATAGTTTTCTTACATTTACTTGTGCGTTACAAATTATACAACCACGAACTGAGTGGGGTGTTAAAACATTAAATCTTAGGCAATTTGTATCATTTTCAATATTTCTAAGTTCCTCTGTAATTGCGTGATAACTGTTTAAACATAATCTTACTTTTTGTAGATTATCGATTGCAGGATGTCCGGCAGCTTGTCTTCTTAAATTAGCAACGTTTAGCACATCTATATTATTGTCTTTCTTTGAACGAATAGTGAGTCGAAGTTGAAAGTGTCTATTGCAAACATAACAGCTTATCCTATTTTAAACGCCATACTTGCAACAATATTTATTTAAAACACTAATACAGAACGGTCTAATCCTCACTTAAAGTAATACAAACGTCATTTATTATAAAAGTCAGCACTAGATGGATGTTCAATTATTCGGAAAATATTTAATCATGAATATATAAATCAAGTGTAAGCATATGTTTATATATCCTATAAGGTTTTTGGCATATTCACCACGTTTTAGAATTTACTAATAACATCTATCAATCGTCTAAAACTCATAAGTTACAAAATATACAGGGTAATCAATTTTTGTGAAAATCTTCGGAAAAATTATATGTTATCACAGTAGATATAAAAAAAGCAAAACTTCAGGCATGCAGGCAGCCTTAAGCTTTATATTTTATCATTACGAATATACAGAGTGATTCTTAACACGGTACCAGACCAAAACCGATTTAAAATGCCTTGGTTGTGTCGATTACAACAACCTATAACACTTTACGTCTGAAGTGAAAAATTACGGAGTTACAGGATGTTACAGAATAACTATATTTCCAAGTTTAAATATTTATGGCGTTATAATCATTAAATACTGCACAAAACGACTTGCATGCTTTTACATAATGACAATATAAAAACAGGCCGGTGATTCGAAAATTAAGAATCTTTTATTACCCTGTATTCATATCATATTGTTTTGAGAAGCCCTTGAAAAATCAAGAGAGGAACAGGTAAGCTGTAAACTCTGCCCTCAAATAGTACAAGAGGTATTTTTCTAATCCAACAGAGTGTGTCAAATTATCTAATATATAGTATTTCTCTGAAACATATCTACTTATGTCAGTATATTTTTTTTGTTTAAAATTCATATATTTGGTACATATTAGGTTATATTTGGAAGACTAGTCATAGGATGTAATTTTACCAATAAGAATTTTGAACTAGTACATCGAGTACTATACGATATCAAGTATTGAGAAACTTTGACAGTGATATTTTTTTTTTCGGTATTTCAGCTATTTTTGTTTGGTGTAAATACCTACTTTGACCAAAAAAGATCTGCCGAATCATTAATCACTCTGTAAGGGACAATATTTTAATTAAAGTAGTTAAGTATGTATTTTGACTATACAGAATGAGCAAATAACTTCCAAATATATTTAAGGGTAATTTATGGTGTCCATTTTAAAGAATTAGG